TCCAAAAAGTTATAGAAAATTAATTTAAAATTAAAAATAAAGTTAAATTTTCTGATTGCGGACGTCTCTCGGTAGGGAATAGTAGTGTGTATTTCTGACATGAAATAAAGGCTCCTCGTTCGGCGGCGGCTTAATGTAAGCTGATTTGGTTGGAAAGACAAAAATTTCAGGATGAGCTCGGTAGAAAATCGCTTCGGCGGTTACAAAGCGCGAATTATATATATATATTGGATGAGTGCATAAGTTCATACCCGATTCCGCTAGATGCCGTTCGAATCGTTTGAGAGTGGCGCTCGTGAAAGAAATATATACATATTATATATCGTTAGAAAGGGGACAGTCCGAACTGTAAATCAAGCATAAAATAAATTCATTTTGATTTGAGTTGCTTAGTGAAAAGACGCATGGAAGATGGACAACGAAAAAGATCATATGCGTCATATTATGTTATACGAATTCCGCAAAGGAAAAACAGTAGGCGCTGCAACTAAAGATATTCGCGAAGTTTATTTGGACCGTGCTCCAGCACTCCGCACAGTAAAGAAATGGTTCGCGAAATTTCGTTCTGGAGATTTTAACCTCGAAGATCAACCTCGCAGTGGACGGCCTTCTGAGCTTGATGACGATGTTCTAAGGACTTTAGTTGCGAATAACTCACGTATTTCGACGGAAGAGGTTGCCAGTGAATTGAACGTCAACAAATCAACTGCGTTTCGTCGTTTAAAAAAGGTTGGGTACACTTTGAAGCTCGATACATGGGTGCCACATCAGTTGAGTGAAAAAAACAAAGTGGACCGTATGTCAACAGCAATTTCTTTGCTTCGACGGATCAAAAACGAACCTTTTTTGGATCGGCTCGTGACTGGTGATGAAAAATGGATCCTGTACAACAATGTTCAACGCAAAAGAACATGGAAACAGGCACACGAAGGGGCGGAACCGATGTCGAAAGGTGGATTGCATCCGATGAAGGTACTGCTGTGCATTTGGTGGGATATCCGAGGCGTGATCTATTTTGAGCTCTTGCCAGCTGGAGAAACGATCACTGCCAACAAGTATTGTCAGCAATTGGTCGAATTGAAGAAAGCAATTGATGAAAAACGTCCGATTTTGGCCAATCGCAAAGGAGTTCTTTTCCATCATGACAACGCCAGGCCACATGTTGCAAAACCGACCCTGGCCAAACTGAAGGAGATGAATTGGGAAATCATGCCGCATCCCCCATATTCACCCGACATTGCACCTTCTGATTATCATTTGTTTCGATCGCTGCAGAACAATTTGAATGGAAAAAAATTTAAAAATGTGGAAGACGTCAAAAACCACCTTGACACCTTTTTCAACGAGAAACCGCGCGATTTCTATGAATCAGGCATCCGTAAATTGGTTGAACGTTGGGAGTGGATTGCCGAACATGATGGCGAATACATAATTGATTAATAAAAGCGCTTTCTTCAAAAAATTTCAATTTTAGTTTGCACTTGAAATCGGGCACGAACTTATGCACTCATCCAATATAAATATATATAATATTTATATATATATATATGTGTATAGTTTTGTGCGGCATTTGAGCTAATAAGATTTGTGAATACCCAAGCGTAAGGGACTTTAATTTTTGCCTCAAAGTCAACTACTTCTATGCAATCTATGTAAATAGTTTGCCAAATCAAGTATAGCCATGCATTCCAAAGCTTACATGCAAACTTACATCTACACACATATATATACGTTATGTATGTTGTAAATGAATAACCATTCGAGCATCGCAAAAGTGTACCCAACTGATAACCCCCAAGTAAGGTCAGGAATCTAATCACTGCCTGAAGCAACTTAAATACAAAAAAAAAAAGCAAACATTATACATAGAACTACAACTAAAAGCATACATATTCACATAAATACTTTATACATTCTTAGGCACTTTTATGTTGAATGAAAGCAGTCAAAAAGAAAGAAAAAGAAATGTTTAAGGGAAAAAATGAGCAAATTGAAATGACAACAACTTAGGAAAAGACTACTAGACCCTGACTAAGTACTCATACAAACACAAACAAACTAAATCAAGCATACATATACGTATCGTATTCATAAGCATATAATAGTATGTCGGCTGCGGAAGGTTGAGATCTTCCGGCTGTCTGACTGCCACAGCCACAGCCACTGTCAAAGAGTCACTGTCACTCGTTATGCGAGGCTGTCAGTGCCGTTACAGTTATCTTCGATGTCTATATAATTCACTGTGTTTCTGCTTATACACACATACATATATATATATATACATATTTCTATATAATTTCATGGCAGCGCAGTTCGCCAGTCTGTTGACTGCTCGGTTCCATAGAGCCGTGCGCTGTTTGGTTTGTTGAGGTATCAGCTCCGTGCTTGAGTAGCACTCAATATTGCACTTGGCACAGTTTCTGACCTACTTTGTGGGCGCTCAATAAATATATTTATTTTTAATGTACTTTACATACATACATAATAAAAAGTAGCAAACGTTTTTTTTCTGGGTTTTTATGGAGCTTTTTCAGACCATATATTTGTTTTTTGGAAATAGTAAAAAATATTACAACAACAGTTTTGAACGATAATCATTTGTATTTTAGTTAATTTGATATTTTTAATTTTTAATTCAGATTTTATGCCTATATAAGCGCTGAGGGATTGATAGCTTGAGATGTCGTCCGTGGGAATAATTATGTTTTTTTATTTTTCTTTGGAATGCTAATCAAATTAATTATAATTTGATTGGGGTGTAGTTCTGTTTCTGTGAGAGATTCGTTAACCAACTCGCATGGAGCACTGGGCCGGGGCTAAAAAGTGTGAGGTTTTTCGAAAAAAACTCTGTAATATATGGTTGAAGGGTTCAGAGGTTCTTTTAGTAGCGTCTGTCACTAGAAGTGCGGCTCTGAGCGAGCAACGGTCTTTACGCAAGCGGCTGTGTTCAACTCTAACCTAGTCGGAGTTGTGCGCTGGGCTTGGTAGCCACCACGTAGGAAGTGAAAAAGAGATAACCAAATTTTTGATGATATATTTGGTCCTTTTATTGTGAAGATGACGATATTCAACTGATAGATATTTTCGGAAACGCCATCACTGTACTCCGAGAAAGCAATGGACTTGACTGGGGTGAAAACGGAAAGGACCTTGCAATAAATATTACTACAGTGGTCATATAAAAAAACGAAAATGTGGCGTCGAGTTCTTGGTGGAATAGAGATTCAGTCGCCGGATACTGCCATTTTCCTTGGTGGCGGATATTCGCCACAATCCATATCAAAGTGAGCTTCATCAACATATCGTTAGTTTGCGACCATAGCACAAAGGAAGAGAAAGATAATATATCCAAAGAGGCCTTCTTCTAAACTCTAAAGAAAGTATCTGCCACACAAGAGTTAAAAATTTGAATGAAGAAACATCTTAACATGATTAAAGGCTACTTTTGCTTCGAATGAAAAATATGGCTATATGAAGCAATGGATGCTAGCAGATGAAATTGAGAATGCATGACTCTCTCCGGATAAAAAACTTGCAACCAGTTTGATCACGTTGTGATACATGCCATGTTTCTACAGCTTCATATGTGTATGCGCAGCGCGGATCTACTTTCGAATCGGAGCCTATCTTGGCGCAGCAAAAGTAAACACCCGCCTCTGTGTTAAGAACGCCCGTCAACAATGGACCAAAGTTTTGAGCTTTGATTTTTATGGCAGAAATACACTCGGTGGGTTTGACATTCACTGTCGAGACACGACTGCAATTGGAAAAACTAATTTTCTATAATTTTGGATGTTGGTCGAACCAGGATTCGAACTGCCGTATGTTACAATAGTACACAAATCAAACTACTCGACTTTTTCGGCCACTTAACATTTAGGGCTTTGCATACTCACGCTGATTAATACCAAAAGTTCCTTCAAAATCGAGTTGTTTGTAATCAAAAAAGGGTACAGAAAGGAAGAAAACTTAACTACAGACAAAAGTACAAATGCTTGTGTCTCCTTAGCTCCTTTCGTTTACACACAGATGTATTGTAAGTATATTTATATAAGTAAGACGTGTCTGCTTGGTATTGCCTTTCTCATTCTACTTTTATTTATCTCTAGTCACAGTCTATTCATTGCTAGGTATTCTTTTCACATTTAACCTGGCCACGTTTGCTTTTGAAACTTTTTTCAACTTTTTCCCCAACTTACTTACGCCACAAACCGCTTCGTTCTCCATTTCATGGTATTTAAAAGCAACAAATGTTAGAGTGCAAAGGTGTATCATGTTGTGCTTTATATATATTTAATTTGTTGATTCTTTCTTTCAAACATTTATCAATCACTAATAATGTGTAATATTTCAAAGAAGCTATCAAAGACAACCGGTGAAGTGATCTTTTGTGGCAAACTTTACACAAACTCTATTGAGACCTTTCCACCATCAGCCATTATCAAGCACTTATTCAATACGACTTCACAATGAAATCTTGAACAAATACATTAGACGCATTTTGGTTGGTTTTTCCACCCACCACTTACTTGAGTGAAGAACCATTTTGCCCCAAATGGTGCTTGGTCAACAATTAGATTACACAAAATGGCAGCACATAGCAGAGCGTAGTGTTGCTCCCATATTAATTTCGTTTCTTTTTCTCTTGTCCTCCGTAACTTGAACGCTTGTACTTGTATGTGTTTGAATGCCACTGAGTAACATTATTTACATAGCACTTGCACTCAATTTACATTTGAACTGTTAAGTAATAGTTGTGATAGCGGTAAATGCGAAGCAGTATTTTATAACTGTCGTAAATCAATTGGTATATACGTACATATATATATATAGTTTCTTTTGTGATAAATGTTGCACACTAACAGAGTATGTTTGTCATGGCGACATCATTAGTGCCATTTTGATGTGAAATGTAACTCGATTTTTACTTTTACTTATATATATATATTTATATTCTGTTTGTATGTATGTTGATAAATTGTATCTGTGCATTCACTCACCGCCTTTGGAAGCACTAAATGTGCGCAAACGATCCAAATCTTCATCATCGTCGCTGACACGCAAATGATGCATTGCGGGCACATCGAGGAACGCATTTGATTTTCGCTGTGCTGAAAGGAAAGTGGAGAAAAAGCGAAGGAAAACGTGAGTAAAATATATATATATATACATATACACAAGCGTTGCATGTTAAAAGATGCTGTTTGCATTTTTGAATATGTGATTGATTACTTGAACAACAAGCGTATTTATATACTGAATATTTAATAGGTATGCATGTAAGGATTAATGCATACCAAATAAGGTTGCTCATACGTCATGGCGTTGTTTGGCTTGTAATACTTTTTGAAATAATATAGCAGACATTTTGTTTTGCTTATAAATGTAGAAATATTTAAATTTCAAATGAAATATTTTGAGCGTACAAAGGGGTCGCTAAATATTTCCAGGAAATAGAGGGAACTACAGTTTATTCTATGCCACGTCCGAGCGTCTGACTGTTTTTTATAAGGAGTTGATATTTCCTACCGAGAATTTAAGAAAACTTAACTCAATTTCTCATTTAAATAATTTTTCTACAACCTTTGCATGTTGGTCGTATCAGGATTTAAAGCCTCGCCTTTCGAGGCAGTACGCAATACTAACCACTCGGCTACGCACTCGGTTGCTTAAATAATTTTCTTTTCTTCTAATAAGAGTTTCTTAATGAAATTTCGTTATTTAGTTTCACCATAAACATTTTTGCGAATCAAAAAGGATTGCGAAGCAACAGTTTGAATATTTTTAGCTACTTTCCAAGCTATTTCGATGTTGCGAAAAATAAAAATGTTAGATTCAAATGGTTGTGGACGTTATTTACTCGATTATAAAGCGTCACTATCCCTCTACCTTTATAAATTTCTAAGAATTTAATAGCAGGCTTTGCTATCTTATACAAGACATTGATGAAACCCGAACCAAACTCTGCCCAAGACGGGTCGGTCACATAGGTGTTGAGAGACCGATTGTTGTGCTCCTCATCGTTCTGAATGGAATTTCCAGCATAACAAAAGGCATTCCATTGCCTTCTGAATAAATCTTTCTGGTCGTTTCTAGGCTGACAATTTCATCTGCCTTATAATTTCTCTCTATGTCCTTGGAACGTGGAACTCAAGTGAGAACGAGCTAAGGAACTTAATCATTGATTAGATATCGCCAATAATAAATATATACTGGAACATGAGTTGAGTTCCAATATAATTTTCGGCTTCTATTAAAGCTGAATGATCAGTTAGCCCGATAAAGAGCTCGAAAGATGGTTCTCTTGACATTGTTTTGGAGGAAATCTTCCACCAGTATTTGATTGGGATATCGAAATCACTGTTCCATTCATAATTTTTATGGATATGCGTAATATTATTGTCGCTAGCAAGATTTGGCCAGCAGCGGTTTGTGCTAATTGGTATGACATTATAACCTTCTTGGATTGTGGATAATCTAAATCGTTAATTGACCCATCCAACTTGCATCCTTAGATGAAGAGTGACAAGCTATGAAGAAAATTGGAGGTAATAGAAAGACTCTAAGTACAAAGAAATCATCAACGAACTGATCGTCGACGAACAAAGACCAAACTCAACATGTCGCTCGTCCTGCTGCGTAGGCATAGCCATTGACTACATCTGATGATATGATGTAACGAAAAGCTGTAAGAGTTAGAGGCTGATATTGATATAGTTCAGCGGATTAAGAAACATCGGCTTTGCTGGCCAGATCATGTTGTTTGATTGGAGGAAAACACGTCAGCTATAAAAGTATACAATGCAGTGCCAGCTGGTGGTAGCAGATAAAGATGAATAGCTGAAAGAACATATGCTTCATTCCCATTGCAATTATTTCCGGAAAATTTTAATTTAGAGATGTGCATGAAGAGCAAGACAAATGATTCCACAGAGATATTATGAAGGCGAAAGAAGACACCTGCAAAGCTGAAGCGCCTCACGGCTATTTGAGGCTTCATAGAGAGCTTCTATATGCTTTCTCTGAGCGATAGGACCAAGTGGTTTTTTTTTATTTAATTTTAATAAATAAGTTTTGCTACGAAATTACAAACAAACTTTTTTTATCGTAAAATATACGAAATATTGTTTTACTAATCAAAAAATGTACCACAAAATTACCTCGAAAATGTTAATTCACATGAAAAACAAAACAAATGAAAAATTTGCCAGAGAAAAATTTTGCTGAGCAGAAATACTGTTAAAAAAAGTTGTAAAAATAAATAAAAAAAAGTTCGTAAATTTTATAATTATATGTACATATGTATAATGCTGTATGGTTTATCAAATTCTCTCATTTATCAAGAATCTACTATTATTTCAAATTCTCGTGTCCCATTCCTTGTGGGATAAAAGTGAAATAAGAAATGATTAAAATTTATTACCATATAAAAAGAAAAATCGTTAAAAAAAATTAATCTGCATATTTTATTTATCCTTTCTTGATTTCATCAGCATTTCTATTTTAAAAAACTACCTTCATTTTTCCAACTCAAATTACCGCTTTTAATTTCCCTAGTGCATAAACCTTGGGGCATATGACGTAAACACCTCATGTCACTTACATCACATCACATATTTGCAATAATCATTAAAATGCACAATCTATCAAAAAACCATAAAAATTACACTAATGGCTAGTAAATATAGTTCCAAATAAAAAAAGGTCCACGCACATACACACCTACGTGCATGCGAATTTCACATCGATTTTCATGATTACACGTAACTACAGCAATATTACTCATACGACACGTACACCCATTCACATATTTATGCGCCATATCTCTGCTGTTTAATCAAGTTCTGCGCGGTAACAACGCTTAGTTTATCAAATATCTAATATTGTAGCAACACGCAACATATGTACATAAATATGTATATATGTGTATGTATGCTTGTACCCCCAAATAGTTTTTGTGCGCATCTGTGTGTGTTTATGTGGCAACAAAATGTTTGTAATTAGCTTCGATTTTAATTAAATGTCGGCACCACATTAACCTCAAACATAAATTGATACACAATACACGCACAGCAATGCTTATATATAAGTATATTTGTGGATGCAATTAGGATTCTATGTGCATATATTATGTGGTAGGGTGTATGTTTGTCCAAGCGTAAGCAATTCGGTGTGTTGTTGCTATTTGCAGTATTGTTTCTATATTTCTCTACCTTAATGCACACATACACACTAAGGTGGTATGAATATTTTCCACAACTTTTTGGTCTGTATGTGTATGTATACTTTTAGTATTAGTTATATTAATTCATAATTTCGCCATATGTGGCAAAGTTGTTTATATAAATATTTGTTTTTATTTCTGTGCAACTGTCGCTACCTGCTGTGTGTTGTTCGTGCTTATAGTAAAAATATCGCTGCATATTTTTTTTCGCAAATATGACACAGCTGTTATGATGAAATAATGTAAATATTTTTTTTAAATAAGAGAAATGTATTTAAATACAATCATATATATGAGATTGATATACAACACTGAAAAAAATAATTTAGGCATACAAAAACTGTTATAACCACAACCAAGCCGTAGCATCGACAAAAAGCAAATTGTTCCCACTCTTATAAACCGTTCCCACCCAACTGTCCCGACCCAAAAGTACCAGCATTTCAGCCAAAAAATTACCATAAGTGAAATATAAATAAATTTAATTTTACTAACTTTTAAACCTTAAAAAAACTGTTCCCATGTAGAAAAAAACTTATTATGCACCTAATAATTTCAGTTGGTCTTTTAATAATTTCCCTAGCAACATTTCAAAAAACTTGTTTTTTTCAGCAAAAACGTGTTATTATTTGTTTTTAATACTAAAAAATTTTTTTCAGCCTAAATATTTATTTTATGTGTAAGAAATTCCTTCGTATTAAAATTCTTCATCTTCTGTATTGATATTGAAACCGCTTATGCAATTTTAGCCGAACACGTAATTTACCCACTAAAGGCAAGTAGTTACATCGCAAAAAATATTTTTTACCGCAAATTTCCTTTATTGGCGAATATGCCCATTTTGCATTAGAGAAAAATAAAATGCTTATGAGCAAGTCAATATGATTTTTACTGCAAGCAGAAAATAGTGAAAAATGAGTCTGAATATCTGCCACACATAATCTCCCTTTCATATGAAAGCGGTGCAAAAGCTGACAATGTAAAGATACAGTTAACTCGTATATTGAGCACAAGAGAAATCTCAGTGAAGAAATTTTTGTTTCATATTTTCTTAATGGCCGGTTTAAATATAAATATATGAGCCTCAAATTTTATGCCTCCTTTTAAGTTTTTTACGTTTTTTATGCATTTTTCTTTTATTTACACAACTCCTCTTATACATTCTTATTTATTTATTCTTCCTTGCGTTTACTACACTCTTCCTATTGCTTTTAGTGCTTCATATGGCTTCCTTGCCCTCAAAGTTGATTTTTTATTTACATTTTATATATATGTACATGATATTCATGTGGGTATGTATGATTTTTTTTATAGCTCATTGAGTTTATAGCAGAATACGGCCTTTTTAGCTTTCTACTTAAAGTCTATGCTCTTAAAGCCATAAATCAGCTTCACTTTCTTTACGAATGGCATCCCAGCGGGTGTTGCTTTTATTCGCAAAATATTTTATTACTTTTTGTATCTACTTCCTTTCGGCTTTAATTTTTTTGGTTGCAAATATCTGCTTAGGGAAAAAGTGGCTAAAGCAAGTTTAATTTATTTTTGAATATTTGTTAGCTGAGAGTGTTTGGAGTAAGTGATTTACAGGGAACTCAATATATTACTACAATATATAGTTTTATTAATTTTGATTGAGAATTTTAATCGATGAATTTTAAATATTTTTCCTGCGAAATTTTTAATTAAAATTTTTCTAAATACTTTTTTTATAAATCTAAAAAAATATTACTACATTTCTAGAATATTATCATTAATAATTTCCCTTCTTAAATTTTTTTCAAAATTTTCTATTTATTTTTTTTAATTCTGTAAGTAATTTTGTTAATTATTGGATATTTTCAATAAATTTAAATATATGTAAATCCTTGGTTTTTTTTATTATTTTGA